ATCTAAGGAATAAGTGATGGAAGGGAGAAGAAACTGATCATTCCAAGTTCCAACCGTGTCTCTCTATGCCCCTGTCTCCCTCTCACTCTCTTCACCCCCCACCACCACCTCTGAATTCTGCGGTCCTCAAAAGGGACTCCACTTTATCCCTACTTCCACATGGGAAGCACACCTAGTTTGGGGCCACTCTCTGTTCCCACTTGCAGGACTTGATGGGTAGAAGACATCAATTTCCTTTCAGCTTCCTAAAAAAGAGCCTGTTCTGTAGACACTCGCTGAGGTGGGGAGGAAATGGGATAGAGAGAGTAAGAAGCCTTTGTGGCCACAAACCCAATCTGAATGTCCAGTCCAACTCCAGCAACAATGAAACTGATGTTGGCCACATGGACCTTACCCAATTTGTTCTACACACACTCAGAGAAAAAAAGGAGTTGCAATATTTGTACCCCCATATGCCCTACAAACCACTAATAACAATGGAATCTTACAAGTTACTATCTAACAAAAATACAATTTTGAACATTGGTGAAATTATATCCTCTGTGTATATGTGTGTATGTGTGTGTGTGTGTGTGTGTGAGAGAGAGAGAGAGAGAGAGAGAGAGAGAGAGAGAGAGAGAGAGAGAGAGAGAAAGAGAATGTGCCCTCTTCTTTCTTATACCAACTCCATCCTCTGAAACAAAAGCCTGACAAATTGAGAATTGAGAACGTGGCTGTTCTTAAGCAACAAACAGTTTGTTCCCAGCAGCCCTGCTGGCCTCTTATGTAAGTTATCAGACAGTTCACCTCTCTCCATGGAATGAAGCCTTTGGTAGCTCTGGGAATGGCTGAGCAGAAACATTAAAAGCTTTCTGAGCACTGGGAAAGTCCAATAGTTATGTCAGACAAACTGGAGCCAACAGTTCTCACTACTCATTAACAATAGCAAGCTGTCTAACCTTGGAAAGCCAACTTCCTGCTTTGTTTCCCTGAACAGGATTTTGGATAATAATTGTCCTAGCCATATAGTCTCATGGTGCTTTTTAAAATCATCCCTAATACTCAAACATACTTCAGAGATTTTTTCCTATGTTTCAAGGAATAAGAAAAAATTCTTATTTAGCACTTCAGCCATCACAAATTTGAGCAAGCATTGTTATTTATTAAATTGATAAAATTCTGAAAATCAAATTTTCAGAAGCTATCCATGTTTCTGAAAAAAATGTGGGGATCACTAAATGAGTCAGGGTAGGCTAACTACTGAAACAAACATATAATAATGATTTATTTCTTGCTCATGTCACAATCCAACAAGGGTTGTGGAAAGGGGGGTGTTCATTCAAAGACACCATCTAGGAGCTCCTCCATCCCCTGGGACCTCAAAGTCTTCCACTAGATGCTCTGCACTTGACAGTTATAAAAATAAAGAGGGAGCTCAGCAGAACTGGAAAGAGAGTGCATGAAGACTGCTTTCATAGGGGGTTTTATGGGGCAGGGCCAGAGATGGCACATATCACTTCTCCCCACTTTCTATTGGCTAGAGCTGAGTCATATGGTCATACCAAACTGCAAGGGAGTCTGGGAAATGTAGTCAAGCTGTATATCCAGGAAGAAGAAATGAGTTTGGGGAACATCTAGCCAAATTTTGACATAATTACCATGTAAAAATTTCAGACCTATTATAGACACAGTTGGTTCACTGCCAAGATTCCTGTCACCAGGCAATGCACCAGTCAGGGAGTGTTGTCTGCTAATGGCTCACAGCTGGTCCTTTCTTTAAAGACTTCCCCTGGAGCCAACCTAGTGCTACTTCAAGGAGTTTATACCTCCACACCCAAAGCCAATGGCTGGTTAACAGAAAGTACAATGACAGCCAGCCCCCTGCCTCCAGGTAAAACCAACTCTATGGTACAAATCATGTTCCAGAGAGCCCCATGGGATGAGGCTGAGGCAAGTCTCCAGCTGAGACCACATCCTTACTCAGCTCTTTTCCCTGCCTGGTCCTGCTTCCCTCACTGAGAACTCTCCCTCAACACAGCACTTACACACAAATCCCCATTTCAGTGTCTGCTCCCAGAGAACCCAACCTGAGCCAGGATTTTACATCAGAGAGTAATATGGTTCACATCTCATAGAAAAAGCAAGAGCAACCTGGCCAATGTGGCTCAGTGGACTGAGCATCGTCCCATGGACTGAGAGGTCCCGGTTCAATTTTCAGTCAGAGCACATGCCTGGGTTTCAAGCTCAATCTCCAGTAGGGGGCGTGCAGGAGGCAGCCAATCAATGTTTCTCTCACATGGATGTTTTTCTATCTCCCTCTCCCTTCCTCTCTCTAAAAATCAATAAAAACATTTAAAAAAAAGAAAAAGCAGGAGCAGCACAAATTGATCTGTAAATATTTAAGTGATCTCAGCAGAATATATAGTCTTATACTCAATAAACAAAGACCGTTTTCCCAGTGCAGCAAACAGAATCCTTTTATGGTGAATATGGATTGTAGTCTCATTCTTCATTTTTGTTTCCTGCCCTCTTCATCTTTGACCAAGTTGATGTGGCTACTGAGTCATCTAGGATCTGAGTCTCAGCCTTGCAAGGCCAGAAATACATATATATCACATCTTTTGAGGTATGGCAACCCAAAGAGAGTGCAGGTACATAAGTCACGATTCCAGTTAACTGGTTTACTTCCACAGCAGTATGTTCTGTGAACCTTAATGCTCAGGCACATACCACTTCCCCCTTCCAGGTGCATAAGTTTCCTCTGGAGATAAATTTTATTTATTTACTTAGTTATTTATTGAGGGGTATCCAAAATTTATTCTCCAACTGTCAGCATCAGCAGGTAAAACTACAGGGCTTTCTCTTATTAGCTTAACAGTTAGAAAGCTTCTGGTGTGTTCTATGTAACAATATCCACTTCACAGTGTAAACAGGTACTATTATTGTGTTCACTTACAATTCCAGAAGGAAAGGCACAACTGGGGAAAAATTTTTTTTGGATCCTAAAGTCAGGTGCAATAATTCAGAGACAAACTTTTAAGAACAGTCTTGATCTATATTTCCATATTGAGGGAGAAAGACACTTCCACCCAGAAATGAGGGTCTTTCCTTCTTGCTCCTCGTTAAACCATTAAACAACATTTTGTCATTTGTTTAATATCACATACACAAAAACAGGATTAAAAAATCACAGAAACATCTTGAACATCCAGCTGCTCCCACCAACAGATCAACTCTTCGGTTTAAGACAGGAACTAGGAACCCTTCAGCAGTTGTAAAATAGAAAATAAGAGACTAAGGCTACAAAAATAAAAAATAAATGAGGTAGATAAATTAAAGCTTTCACACCCAGGACTCCCCTATTCCAACTTCGTAGCCTTCATGCAATACTCGGGAGTGGGGGAAGGAATCTTCATAATTACTTGGCATAAGTGACATCAAGGAAATTTTTATTAAAATTAGTACGTGAAGCCCTGGCTGGGTTGCTCAGTTGGTTGGAGTATCCTCCCATACACCAAAAGGTGGCGAGTTCAATTCCCAGTCAGAGCACATACGGGAGGCAACAGATAGCTGTTTCCCTCTCACATTGATGTCTCTCTCTCTCTCTCTCTCTCTCTCTCTCTCTCTCTCTCTCTCTCCCTCTCTCTCTCTGTCTCTCTCTCTCTCTCAAATTTATTAAAACATATCCTCAGGTGAGGATTTAAAAAAAAATATGTGAATCTATAAGAAACAAACCCTTCTGTGAGTTTCTTCAAGAATGAAAACCCTTCTATAGCATAAGCACTGGTGAACTAAATTAAGTCACCTGAAGTCGCCTGCTCAGATGCCCACCTGTTCTGGTGTTCAGGAAAAAGGTGCCGTCTAGAAAGCACAGGGAATACACTGGCACTCTTAGGGCTCCAACTGAACTGTACTTCACTGAGCAACGCACACATTGACCCCTTCGGGACTAAAATCAGTCCATTTGAAGGCATCCTACTTAAGATTCCAAGGTTAAAGGAATTTTGTAATTCTACCTTAGTTTTGTAAAAAGTACATTCAAAGAAAACAAAGGCCCTGGCCAGGTAGCTCAGTTGGTTAGAGTATTATCCTGATATACCAAGGTCGTGGGTTTGATCCCCAGTCAGGACACATACAAGAATCAACCAGTGGCCCTGGCCGGTTTGGCTCAGCAGTTAGAGCGTCGGCCCATGGATCAGAGAGACAGACCCGGGTTCAGTTTCCGCTAAAGGCACGTACCTTGGTTGCAATTTGTCCCCGGCCCTGGTTGGAGTTGTGTGGCAACCACTCAATGTATCTCTCTCACTTCGATGCTTCTCTCTCTCTTCCTCCCTCTCTCCTTCCTGCTCTCTCTGAAAATAAATGCAAAAAAAAAAAAAAAAAAAAAGTCCTCGGGCGGGGATAAAATAAAAAAAGAATCAACCAGTGAATGCAAAAATAAGTGGAACAAATCGATGTTTCCCTTTCTTTCTCTCCCTTCCCCTCTCTCTCTAAAGATAAAGAAAAAAAAGATGGGTGCAGGGTTGGGGGACATACAAAGCAAATTCTTAAAGACAACAAACCTTGTCCATTTACCCGCATAGTCACCACAGAAGTATACAGCACCCCCCCCCCCCAATTAGGCTAAACAGTTATCTTTTCCATTGTGGTTCAGTAAGTTCCAACTTGAAACAAGTGATGGTCTTTGGAAATAGTTGTTCTAGCTTGTGCAACGGTTTTATGTACACCATTTGTTGCAAGTAACAAAGCTACTTTGCAAGACCTACTTCTTTCCAAAATTTAAAAAATATATATACCAGTCTGTATTTATTTTAGTATGACTTTTTTCTGTTGTTTTTGCAAAGCAGCATAGCAACATCGTGACTGTAGGACTTGCCTGAGGTTGTGGTCACAACTGTAAACATCATTTGCACATCAGTAAAAAGACAAACAGGAGGAGATGGGTTCTTTAAAAACAACAAAAAAAGGTCCAGTTCTAGAGCAGTCACTCTGCATTTCTCCTGAATGGGTTCTCCTTTAGCTTAGCTGACCGAAACCTTGTCTTCTTCCAGTAAATGAGGCAACTGGTGTTTGAGAATGCTGTCAGCAGCACCTGGCTTTTCCACATCAGCACTAGTAGCTGGCTGAGAGCCATCTATCTTGGAGACAATGGTGTTATTCACAATGGAGCTGGCCTCCAGGGAAACCGGGAGAGTAGGAATACCTACACGCTGGATCACTGAGATCTTGTTGGTTGTCTTGGCCAGACCACCAGTGGGCATGAGGGTATACTGGTCCCACACAACAGGGTCAACATTCACTGAAGGGCTCATGATTTCCTGGGGGTCCATTTCAGGGAGCTTTTTTCCATCTGTTCCTAACAGAGTCGTGGTGTTCTCAATGGCCAGCTTTCTTTCACAGTGTGCAGAGCTGTTGTTGGCCCCATGTGTCATATAATGGACCTGCAAGCTGCCTTTGGTGGTAAAAGCTTGTTCACATATGTTACATATGAAAGGCTTCTCTCCAGTGTGAGTCTTCTCATGAATCTGAAGAGCACTGGCCAATGAATTCTTCCCAAACTGTGTGCAGCCGTGTTGCTTGCCTTGTTGGCATGGCGGGGCTGCTAACAAAGGTGCCATACCTGGGGATATGGTTGTGAGTCCAAATGCACTAGGAACTTCAACTTTGACATAGGTTGACTGGGCGTGGACAAATGTTGATGGGAGATTGCTACAACCTTCCACCTCAGTGTGGCTATTCTCTGAGTTCTCTGCTTTGCCACCAGCATTGGGAGACTTGGACTTGATGCTTTCTGCTTGGCTATTTGCTAGGGAGAGGGCCTGAAAGGACGTCATCTCCCGGATATCAGGACTTTGGCTCTGATACTCCTGGTCTTTCATCACTGAAGACGACGAGTTGTTGGTCAAGCAACCCCTCTCCACCAAACCATTTCCTCTGCTGTTCTGCTGCTGCAGGACCACAGCATCAGGACCCACTTTCCCTGGGGCATCTAACGGGGTCATCACGGAGAACCCTAGCATGGATGATGCCGAGTGGATGCTGGGAAGAGGCATAGGGACCTTAGGGGAGCTGCTGGGGGCATCCTGGGAGCCAATTTTGTCTGTATCAATGTTTTTGACAACGTCATTGTGACAAGTGGTACTTGTGCTGCCATTCTCACCAACCATCATCAGCTGGGGACCTGTAAAGTCACAGGGACTCTCCAGCAGGGGTGTATTGGGAATCTGACCACCCATGTGCATCCGAATATGTTGCTGCAACATGACCGCGTTGGTAAACTTCTTCTGGCAGATGGGACACGAATGCTGCGTCTTTATGGACGTGTTGGTTCTGTGAACCCCGAAGTGTGTCTTCAGATTGTCTTTGGTGGAGAAGGCTCGGTCACAGATATTACACCGGAATGGCCTCTCCATGGTGTGGGTACGGTAATGCATTTTGAGGGATCTTTGACAGCTTAAGATACGGTGGCAAATGAGACATTCGTTGGGCTTGGTGGTGGCCTTGTCAATGTTCTCCACCAGCTGCTGCAACTTCAGGGTCTCTGACCCTGGCTCAGGCTTCTCTCTCCTTTGGAAGCCACCAACCTTTGGGGAATTATGGTTTAGCCCCATCCCAGAGAGTAGAGATCGATCTTTACTTTCTGGAGAAGGCTGGGGCTGCAGTTCATTGGCTAATGGGCCAACCATTAGGTCCTTGGGATTAGCCCCCAAAGAAAGATTCTGAGGTAGCCCTACATTGGGGATCCCCGTGACCAGGACAGGTTTGCTGTCTAAAGAGAGACTCGATTCATCTATGGGGTCAGGTACAGAAAGTGCATAGGGGACACCAATGCCTGTTGCTATTTTATCATGGAACTTGTGAAGCAGCTGGGGGTTTGCCTTCACCTGGAAATGTTGATGAAAGTGCACTTTGAGGCTGTCCTCGGTGGTGAACCAGTGGCCACAGACCGAGCACATGAAGAGTTTTTCTTCAGTATGGGACCGGAGATGGATCTGCAAGCAGCTACGAGTCCCAAAAACCTTGCTGCAGTACTTACACTTGTACCTGTAGAGGGTGGCCTGGTTTTGGGGTTTGACATACACCGGGGACACATTGGGTGGCTTTCCCTTCAAGCCTTTCTTGGACGGATCTAATGCCACAGTAGAGAAAGGGCTCTGGAAGACCACAGAACCTGAGGCCTGAGATATCAAAGCACCTGGGAGGTGGTTAGGGGGCACTCTGGATCCACCTGGTCTCAGGGCGAGGGATCCCAGCCCTGGGGATGCATAGCCAGTAGTGGAAGAGATGTTTTCATGAGGTAGCGTTGCTTGTTTCAAGGAGTCCAGAGATGGACCTTGGACCTGCTGGGACATGTGGCTATCTAAGGACGTCAGGGTGGCAGCTCCTGCCACACTGGAGTGGAAAGCATGAGTGGCCCACAGGTTCACCTGGACACGGATCTGCTCAGTGAGCTGGATCTGCTGTAGCTGCTGCTGCTGCAGACACAGGATCTGCTCTAGAACCCATGGAATGCTGTTGTCACTGGGCATGGGGGTGGGCATGGGGGTGGGCAGGGGGGCAGGCAGCATGGGGGCTCTCTGCTGATCCATCGCCACCTTGGTGCCCCGTAGTGCTTGAAGAGTGACATTAGTGTTGGTCACTCCGCCTTTGGGTAAATAGCTTAAGTCTTGGGGTGTGGGTGGCTGGGCAGTCTTCATCTTTGAGTACAGAAGAGAGTCCACCCATGGCTTTTTCTTCATGTCCAATGAGTTGCCACCATCCTTTTTGTGACTGTCCTCACTGCTTGCACTGTGTGGCTGATGGCTCACCACAGCCCTGATCACATCTTCTGAAGGCACCAGTCCCTCACTGTCATTCATGATAAAGACAGGTATATGTTTAGTGCAATTTTTTTTATGTTCTGAGAACTCAGAGAAGCTGAAGAACTCTCCACAGCATATCTCACAGATGTGTGACTCCTCCCGACGAAGCCTCTTTGCCTTCACTTGGTCCCCATTCATGTCATCGCCAGTCTCCGGGTGGTTCATTGGAGCACACGGCTCCCTCGCAGTGGGCACCACTGGGGCCACATCTGCAAAGTCTGGAGCTAGCTGCTGCAGCTGCTTCTCTCCCTGGTCCGTCTCCAAGTTGACATGTTGTGGTTTCACCTGCTTGCGCCTCGACATGATGCAAGTATCGGCACTGGGCAAGCCGTGGTTATTTTCCCACTCTGACACAAACTCCTGGAGTTGGAGATAAATTTTAAATAATAAAGTTGTTTTTCAAATATAGGACCATAGAAACAAACAAAGAAATTAAGTAAGGACAATGCACATGAAAAAACTTTTTTAAATCAAGAATGTTTCCAAATAGCATTTTGAGAAAAAGGAACATGTCTTAATCATGTGATGCTCAATAAATGATTAGTTTAAATTAAAGGAGGAATCAGAATTACCTGGAAAATACTAGAAACACAATGGCAACGTATCCTTTCAAATTTCCTCTCATGAGAGGCTTATGTTGGCCTTTGCCACTAAATCTCCTCCTAGTTTAAACCTACTTTCATGACACGATTTTATCTCAACTTTATGTCCTTTACATTTTCACTCATTTCTTTAATTCTCTTCTCTAGGAGTCCAGCTAGGCACTAGATGTCCAAGATGGCACACTCACAGGGCTGTTGACAGGAAGCCTCAGGTCCTCCTTATGTAGGCCTCTCCACAAGGCTGCCTGAGTGGCTTCAAAACAAAGCAGCTGACTTCCCCCAGAGCTAGTGATCCAAGAAAGAGTGACTCTAGTCCCAGAAGAGACATACAATTTCTGCCATAGTCTATTTGTTAGAAGCAAGTCACTAAGTCCAACTCACACTCAAGAGGAGGAGACTTAAGCTCCAGTTCTTGAAAGGAAGATCAAAGAACCTATGGACACATTTTAAACCACCACACAACTTTCACAGAACTGGTTACTAACTATTGTCTTGTTCTTCACAAAGTCACTCTCAAATCTGCAAAGTGCTATGGTTTTGAGTTCAAACTGATGCCAATCTATTTATCACCTTATAATGAGAACAGACAGGATTTTAAAAATGCATAGCATTATTTTAATTTACTAACTTTTTGAAGTAATTTTGGATTCACAGAATATTGCAAAAATAGTACAAAGAATTCCTGTCACATGTCACCCTGATTCCCCAAATGTTTCCACGTATGCTCGCTCTCTCTCTCTCTCTCTCTCTCTCTCTCCCCCTCTTCCTCCCCTCCCCCTCCCTATCTCTCTCTCTTTCTAGATATATTTTTTCTGATTCACTTGAGAGTAAGTTGTTATACCTTTACTCCTGAATATTTCAGTGTACATTTCCAAAGAATAAGGATATTCTCTTGTATAATCACTGTACAATTATCAAAATCAGGAAAGTAACATCTAATCTACAAACTTTATTCAGTTATCACCAATTGTCCCACTAATGTCCATTAGAGTAAAAGGGGAAAGAGCTTTTTATTCCTCATCCAGGATTCAGTTCAGGAACACATGTTGTATTTAATTATCAATTCTCTTTACTCTCCTTTCATCTGAAGCAGTTCCTTAGTCTTTCTTTGTCTTACGGTCTTGACATTCTTGAAGACTACAATTCATTTATTGTCTCAGTTTGTGAACAGATAGTATTTAATTTGCTTACAAGCCTGCATCTTCATTCCTATATAAGCTTTGTAAATTGTTCTGACAAGCACATAAAAACAAGTACTCTTAAATACTTTTAGTCTACCAATGGCTTTTGACCTCACTGATAATATTGAGAATGAATAAAGGGAAAGAATCAAACATTGATCTTGCCTTCCCCATCAAACTGTACCCCAGTGAACCAAATAGTAGATGAAATAGAATTACAAAAGGAATGAGAGAATTATAATATCACCATTTTCCAACCCCTAGTGAATAAATAAATCCAAACACTAATCATCAATGGCTGCTAATATACAAAAAGAGTCAGACATTACGTGCTTCTGGCTAGTCATACGCAATGCTACCTATGAAGTACAATTGCCAAAAAAGCAAACCTCAATTTCATCAAGTCTCTAACTCAGTACTGTCCAATGCAAGCCACCATGTAATTTTATGTCTTCTAGTTGCCACATTAAAAGCAACTAAAAGTAAGTATGTGAAATTAATTTTACTAACATTTATTTAACCTAATATGTCTAAATTATTACCATATTAACGTGAAATTATTGCAGATAGTCTACATTCCTTTTCGTACTAAGTATTCAAAATCTGGTACATATTTTATACTTATAGTACATCTCAATTTCAACTAGTGTTAAAGAAAATAATTATTCAGATATTTGTTACAGATGGTAAGGCAGCCCTGGCCGATTTGGCTCAGCGGTTAGAGCTTCAGCCTGCGGACCAAAGAGTCATGGGTTTGATTCCAGTCAAGGGCATAAACCTCAGCTGTGGTTCAGTCCCTGGCCCTGGTCAGGGTTGTGCACGAGGCACCCAGTCAATGTGTCTCCCTCGCATCAATGTTTCTCTCTTTCTCTCTCTCTCTCTCACTCTCTCCCTCACACTCTATCTGAAGAGAAATGGGAAAATATCCTCGGGTAAGGATTTTTAAAAAAAATAGATGGTAAGGCAGACTTTATTCAAAAGGGACTACTACATGGTGATTTTGTAGTAGAGGAGAGAGATTGAGATTAACTCCGAAAACAAAGACAAGTGAAGATTTATAGCCAAGAGCAGAGTAGGGATCAGTGGATAGAAAATTACTAAGATGAAACATCAAAGGTAGGAGGATTTTTCAAAGATGGACTCAACTGAAGGTAGACCAGGGTGATAAGATATTGAGGGTAGGGGATGAGGAATTTGATCAGATATTAAGAATAGGAGATTTTGCTCTAGCCGGTTTGGCTCAGCGGTTAGAGTGTCAGCCTGAGGTCCAGAGAGACCCAGGTTCGGTTCCCGCTAAGGGCACTACCTCGGCTGCAGTTTGTCCCCGGTCCTGGTTGGTCATGTGGGTGGCAGCCACTCCATGTGTCCCTTTCACGTCGATGGTTCTCTCTCTTTCTCTTCCTCTCTCTCCCTCCCACTCTATCTGAACAAAAAACTGGAAAAATGTCCTTGGGTGCGGATTTAAAAAAAATAAAGAGTAGGAGATTTTCACTAAATTAACCCAGAAGAATTCTTGCTAAAACTGAATTAAGCAGGTCAAGGACAAAGCAAGCCCAAGGCCAGAACCTAATCAGAAAGGTGAAGACTCAGAAGAGGTTGACTCAAGTTTGGTCAAGGAGGGAGCCTTTGCCACTAGTCACATCTCAAGTGCTCAACAACCATCTAATGGCCAGTGGCCACCATATTAGACAGTATAACTCTAGAAAGAACTATCAATGGGCAGGAAATGCAGAAGACAGAGGAACATGTAAGACACTACCACAGAGAAGTAAGCCAAAGCCAGACAGAGGGATTCTCTACAAGACAATTTGACTCCTTCAACAAATAAATTGTAAGGAATAAAAGGGGATGGGGAGAGTGACCTCTACATGGAGATTTACGGTGCATATAATTCAATCACAATCTATGAATCTTATTTGGATCCTCATTCAAATAAACTGAAACAAATGTATGGCACTTATGACACAAATGGAAATTTGAACGCTAGCTAAATATTCTGTGATAGTAATTATTTAATTTTTTAAGTGTGATAATAGTTTTATGGTTAAGTGTAAATAAAGAGTCCTTATAAAGGTACATTGGGAAGTATTTGTGAGTGAAATTATATTGTTTCAGATTCACTTCAAAATTATAAGGAGTATCCATTTATATGAAATATCTAGAATATCCATATCCTAGAGACTAAAAGTAGATTAGTATTTATCAGGACTGGAAGGAGGGGAGAATAAGGAGTGACTGCTTAAGGGGTATGGAGTTTCCTTCTGGGCTGATAAAACCCTTCTGAAATTAAGTAGTTGTGATGGTTGTACAAGATTGTGAATTACTAAATGACACTTAATTATAAACTTTTAAATGGTGGAAATGGTGACTTTTATGTTAGATGAATGTGACCATAATAAAAAAATATATATTTGAAAGAAAAATAAAACTATAATGGGAGAAGCATGTGGGATTATAGATGAAATACTCAGTTAAAATTGATAATTGTTAAAGTGGGTGATAGATACCTGAGAGGATTCTTTTTTGTTGTTAATCTTCACCAGAGTACATTTTTCCATTGATTTTTATAGATCAGAAGGGAAGGAGGGTAGGGGAGAGAGAAACATCAATTGGTTGCTTCCTGCATGACCCCAACTGGGGCTGGGGATTGAACCTGCAACCCAGGTACGTGCCACTGACTGGGAATCAAACCCATGACCCTTTGGTCCATGGGCGATGCTCACTGCGGAGCCAAACCAGCCAGGGCATGAGGGGATTCATTTTATTATTCTTTTTATGTTGTGTATGTCTGAATTTCCCATAATGAAAACATTTTAAAACAAAATCAGTCAACTTATAAGGGAAATTTGAATGTGGACTGTGCATTAGATGATGTTAAATGATAGTTTATTTTTAAAATATGATAATGACATAGTGTTTATGAAAAACAACCCTTATGGATGCATTCTGTTACCTAAAGGTGAAATGACACAGTATCTTGAATTTGCATTAAAATACTCAGGCACAAAAGAAAAAAAAAAAACAAAAACAGGAAGGGATTTGTTTGAAACAAGAATTGTAAAATGTTTTAGCTGAGTGATGGGTAAAAAGAGAGAATTAGCCCTGGCCAGTTTGGCTCAGCAGTTAGAGAGCATCTGCCACGGACCGATGAGTCTCATGTTTGATTCCAGTCAAGGGCAGATACCTCGGTTGTGGTTCGTCCCTGGCCTTGGTGGGGCCGTGCAGGAGGCAACCAGTCAATGTGGCTCTAATTACATCGATGTTTCTCTCTGTCTCTCTCTGTCTCTCTCCCTCCTACTCTATCTGATAATAAGTAGAAAAATATCCTCAGGTGAGAAATAAGAAAAAAAGAGAGAGAGAGAGAATTATATCAATCTAATTTTTTATGTTTACATTTTCCAAAATAAAATTTTTATTTTATTTTTAAATAAAATACCAACCCTTATGAGCACCCTACCCTTAGCAGTCCCATTTTTAATTCATATATACAAGCTCTCACCTGGACTCCTATATCTAAGTGTTTCTGAACCTTAATATCAGACACAAATGTTAAACAAAATAATAATATTAGGTCATGACTTTCTCTTTGAAAATAGTGGCGTATCTGGCAACTACTTAGTTTGTTTTTTTTTTATTTAAAGAATGACCTCATGAGAAAGTTCAGCACATCTGGCCAACAATGCCTGCCTTCCTTTTGCACTGAAACAAATTAGAAGAGTATGTTCAATTTGAAGAGGATGTTTATTTCACATGTGGCACATCATCCTCTCAAGACTCTACTCCTTAACTGAAATGGGGGCCAAGAACAGGAGCACCCACTAATAAGCTGGATCTTTTTCTTTTTTTAGCTCCAGAACCTCTTGGGGGAATGCGTGTTTGCAAACAGTTTCCATATTACTACACATGCCAACTTAGTAACGATGAAAATAACAACAATGGATTAAAAAATTAAAGAGTTTATCACCTCTACAATTATTTCCATTTCAGAGCCAGAGTGCTGTACTTGCATTGATAGAAAAAGGCCTTAATGCATAATGAGGCTTTAATCTGAGGCCCTGTGCAACAGAAAAATTAGAAACATTTTTTTGAATTTATGAAACTCATTCTCAATTTTGACCTAAAGCAGCCAATGGATTTTTTTTAACTATGCTTTCGGGAGCCCTATCCCACCTAGCAAAGCCTCAACAGACTTCTGATCCTTTAGAAAAGCACTTTTAGAAAACTTGTACAAGCCTGTTACATTCCCAGAGATAACAACTGGCTTAAAATATATATTTAGGCAAGTGCATGAGCATTCATCAAATACATAGCATGATCCACTAGAATGATTATAATAAAAAAGAGAGATAATAACAAGTGTTGGTGAGGATACAGAGAAACTGGGACCCTCATACACTGTTGATGGGAATGTAAAATGGTGCAGTTGCTCAGGAAAGCAGTCTGAGTTCTTCAAAAAATTAAGACACAGAATTACCGTATGACCCAGCAATTAGAAGTGAAAACTTATGTCCACTCAAAACTTGTATACATATGTTCACAGCAGTATGATTCTTTTATCCATAAAGTGGAAACAACTCAAATGTCCACCAACTAATGCACAGATAAACAAAATGTGGTCTATCTATGCAATGAAATATTATTTGATAATAAAAAAGAATGAAGTAATGGTACATACTACAACATGGATAAACCTGGAAAATATTATGCTATGTGAAATAAGCCAGACACAAAGGACCACATATCATATGATTCTATTTCTATGAAATGTCCAGAACAGGAAAATCTAGAGAGACAGAGTGGTGCCTAGGGCTGGGTGGGGGCAGATTGGAGGAAAATGGGGAGTGACTGCCAGTGGGTACATGGTTTCTTTTTGGGGTGATGAAAATGTTCTGGAATTAGTGATGTCTGAACAACTTTGTGAATGTACTAAAACCCACTGAATTATACATTTTAAAGGGTTAATTTTATGGCATGTGAATTATGTCTCAATTTTTTTTAATGTTTTTTAAATACATAGCATGTCACTACCACCTCTCCATTATTTCCTTGTTGGAGCAAAGAAAGAACAGTGTGTGGTGGGTAAGACAACAATCTAGTTCCTCTCCTTTACCTAAGTCATGCTTGGAATTTAACCCCAGCCTACACCAGTCCACACTAACACAAACAAGCAACACTTCGTACCAGGTGTTGCCACTCTTTGCCACTTCATTACATCATGCAAATGCCATGATCACCTTGGACTACTTCAACTAAAAACAAACAGAAAGACTCGGCAGGGAGAGCAGTGAAATTGAGCCTTCTCAAATGGTGTGCTTTTAAATCTTGACTCTCCCTTCCTCTTTCTTACCCTGGATCAAAGTCCCCAACAGAAGGCCATGGTTCCTGAGAGTAGGATCACATGAGGCAGCTCCATCTGGGTGTCCAGGTGGTGAGAGCAGGTCTCCAGCCTTTTCCCAGGCTTCGTGACAGCTATTTCCCTTTCCCGCCCTGTGGGGGAAAGCAGTTTAATATCTCAGTGGGCTCTCACTTGACACAATGAGTATGTTAGACAGGTTTCTGAAACTGCATAAACCAGATTTTCATAAAGATAACTGAAATTTGAACAAATTCGGGGCCGGTTTAAAAATAAATTTTATTATGAATCATTTTGTTAAATAATTAATTGTATATTTTTTGGTTGGGTCATCCTTGATTTTCACATATCTAGTTTACTTAAAGCACAGGAGACATATAATATAAAGATTCTGTATTATATATACATTTATACATACATATCTGAATATTTTATATCTATAAGTCATCAGAGAAGAGCTTCCTGAACCCAGAAAATGATTAAGTTCAGATATTAAGTAGTGAAATTAATTTAAAACTTTCTTTTAAGCAACTTTTAAGCCACACATCCAAAATGTACTTAATAAGTTAGTAAGGCTAACTCTAAGTTGGTTTCGTTGTTTTATTTTTCTTTCTTTTTTAAATAAATAAAAATTCTCCCTCAAATTAGTTTATGTAAGAATGAGGCAGACTATAAACATGTAAAATAATAACTAAATTTTAAAAAATATAATTATCTGGCCCAAATTTTCATCAATAGGTGAATGGATAAACAAAATGTGGTGTACACATGTAATGGAGTATTATTCAGCCATACAAATGAAGGAAATCCTGACACATGCTACAACATGGATGAACCTTGAGTATATCCATAAAATTTCAGACAGAGAAAGACAAATACTCTGGGACCTCATTTATATATGGAATCTAAAAACATCAGGCTCATAGAAACAGAGAGCAGATTAGTGGTGGCCAGGGATGAGGGGAGGTGTCAGTCAAAGGGTACAAACTTCCAGTTATAAGATGAGTAAGTTCTGGGATGTAATGTATACTGTGGTGACTTTAGTTAACAATAATGTATTGTATACTTGAAAGTTACAATGAGAGATCTTAAAAGTCCCATACTGTTGATATTTTGGTTAGTCGAATTGTAGATGCCAATGGTTCCCCTTCCTACTGTCATGATTTTTCTGTCCCCAATTACCTCCTTGGTCACTTTCCAACAAGTATCCTCTGAGAAGTGTTGGCTGAGTGCTGTCCTCAGATCACTGGTGATGCCTGGAATCCTCAGAAGGGGTCCATATTGCAGGAGTCTGAGGAAAAATAAAACAACTGTGTCCACATCCATTCAATACATTTGGAATGTAAAATAAATTATGATTTTCACAGATACTTCAATTATCATTACAATCCCAAAGTTTGTACATTCACCATAAAGACTCAATTAATCAGTCTCTTTCAGCTAACATTCAGTTGGTAGGGTACATTTGATTTAAGCTAATGTAGTTTTATGTAACTTGCATATTATTACTTACATTTGTCCAATTTTCATTTTTAGTTGTAACCAAAGTGCTTTCTCATGTTCCAGATTTGTAAAACTGGGTAAGCGGTCCACTGAAGCATAAAAGCAGTTAAGAAAAAGTTATCTAGCCCTGGCCGGTTTGGCTCAGCGGTTAGAGCGTCGGCCTGCGGTCGGGAGAGACCCGGGTTCAGTTCCCGCTAAGGGCACGTACCTCGGTTGCAGTTTGTCCCCGGCCCTGGTTGGTCGTGCGGGTGGCAGCCACTCGATGTGTCCCTTTCACATCGATGTTTCTCTCTCTCTCTCTCCCTCCTGCTCTATCTGAACAAAGAATGAAAAAGTGTCCTCGGGTGAGGATAAAAAAAAAAAGAAAGAAAAAAAAAGTTATCTAGGCCTTGGCTAGATAGTTCAGTTGGTTAGAGTGTCATCCCCATGAGCCAAGGTTGTGTTTTTGATCTCCAGTCAGGGCACATACAAGAAGCAACCAATGAATGCATAAATAAGTAGAACAACAAATCAGTGTTTCTCTCTCTCTCAAATCAACAAATAAAAGAAAAAGTTATCTAAATACTACAGTAAAGAATACATTTATAAATGCCAAATTGCGTAAGAAGTCTGTGTGAAAATAGATCTGACTCTGTATTACTGGGGCAAGAGAATCTGTAAGAGTGATGGGCAGACAAAAAAGAATAGGAATGAGAAATATAGTAATTATATAAAAATCAGGTTTTTGCCTCTAGACCCCTGTGCTTTGCCTATTTTGCAACTGTCAAATAGTGGCAGGAAGCCACTGAAGCCTTTGAATACTACTCATAAACAAAGCAAAATGACCTCTCTGGTAAACCAACTGAAAATTTCCAGAATAAGCTAAAAATTGTGCTTTCCAGGATGCTAAAGGTTCAACTTTCAACTTGTACTACTGCCAAGAAGTTTGTAAAACCACTCACGAAGTTAATGGAAATGTTATGCTAAGAAGAAAAATGGAATGGCCAGTTGCCAAAATTCTCTGATCAAATGATGGTGTTGTACATCCCCTAATACCAATGGTATTCTGTATAAACAAGCACTTATTACGGTGTTTATGTGAATAGATAGTTCACATTACAGCTATAATAAATGTGTTCTTGGCAGATAAAATGAGCATATTTGAGTGAGATGTGCTCAGTATTTTCTTTTATCTTTGAATACCCATGTTACACAGCAATTTTTCATTTACGTAAAAATTATTGTAGGAGCCAATAGCTGGGGTAGCACCAGCTATGCACAAAGCAATACGGGGCTTTGCTGGATGGGTCAGATTGTTGGCAAGTGATAGAAAAATAGTTGAAACTGTCTTAAGCCATTGATCATTTATTGGCTCACACAACTTAATTCAGGCACTCAAGCAATATCATCACAAGTTGTTTTGTTTCCAGTTCTCCTCTCTGCCTTCCCTTCTGTTAGCTTCATTTTCAGGTTCCATAGAGTGTCTCCCAGTGCTGCAGTCACACATACTCTCAGGTTGAAGTCCAACTGGCCACTCTTCCAATAGCCCCAACTAACATCTATTTGAATCTCCTTGGCTAAGTCTAACTGGGTCACATGCCCATCCATGAATCAGCTTCTTTGGCCAAGCGAAGGCTATGCTTTGACTGGCCACGCTTGAGTTACCATCCATCCCTGGAACTGAGGGTGAATTCAACTCTCACCAAAGTACAGCATCTGAGATGCAAGAGGGGCTGATCTGCCCAAGGAAGTACAGGAAATTTTATCAAGCAAAGGTTGAGTGGATAATATGGAAGGGGTTAATAACAGATGACAGTTACAGTGTGTGAATAAAATGGCACTTTTTCACACTCCTTTATTCATTCAGGACAGCAGAGTGTCAGCAATCTGCTTCTTGATTCAATGTGAAAGTAATCTCACTAAACTACCACCACTGCTGCCTGTTTTTTCATTATGCTGTGAAAAGAAATAGGCAGCATATACAAGATGGCTTTTCCATACCGGAGTGCATTAACTATCAAGAAAAACGATGCTCATATAAGCATGACACTCATCATGCCAGTAAGGACTATTTGTGCATGTTCTAATGTTTGAACTTTCCAAAGTACAATTGAGTGACGCATTTTTAGTACACTGGATCGGTTGAGCTTATCATTCGAGATCCAAAATACTATGATTTCTAATGTTCAGAATAAGATACTACTGGGCTTTTCAGAAATCAGACTGAGGTACAAATGACTGTTATGCCCAGGACTTTGACCCTCTCTCAGCCTTTGATGTATTCCTTTATTTGATGGAGAATAAAACCACTGCTGTATTTTGGGGTATATATTAGAATTGCATGCTCTTCTACTTAAACAAGGTGGGTTGAACATATATGTATGTGTGTGTACACACACACACACACACACACACACGCTTTTCAAACAGCACTGGAATGAGTGAAAGGAAATTTTTAAAGGCACAGACTTGCAAGGAAACAGAAGTCCCTAGAGAATGTTCTAGCAGATAAGATATAACAACAAAAATTTTGGCCCTGGCCAGTTAGGCTCAGTGGTTAGAGCGTCGGCCTGTGGTCCAGAGAGACCCGGGTTCGGTTCCCGCTAAGGGCACGTACCTCAGTTGCAGTTTGTCCCCGGCCCTGGTTGGGTCATGCGAGTGGCAACCACTCGATGTGTCCCTTTCACGTCGATGTTTCTCTCTCTCTCTCTCTCTCTCTCTCTCTCTCTCTCTCTCTCTCTCTCTCTCTCTTTCTCCCTCTCTCTCCCTCTCACTCTATCTGAACAAAAATGGAAAAATGTCCTTGGGAGAGGATTAAAAAAAAATTTTTTTTGAACAGCGGAAGGTGGATGGTCAAATGGTATATGATATAATGAAGTATAAAATGCTAAATGTCTGCAAGGTGGAAAGCCAATGAAAAGCAAGACAATTCATGTCACAGAACCCCCAGAAAAGCTTAGGAACTAGAGGGAGAAGGCCCCCTGAAGGTGGGATGCAGTGTGGGGCCCAAGACAAAGTGGGTAAAAGTTCTTCAAAAGGAATAGCCAGATCTTCATTGTAACCTCACCCATTCCAGTATAAAATGAATGTGTGTAAAACTTTTACTTAGTTTATAATGAAACCTGTAACGTGGCAAAACTGGTTCAAAGATATTTTAAGAAACTGAAATGTATGTACTCAAACAGGAAAAACATGTTGAAGTAAGTTAATTTAATAACAAAACTGTTATACTACCTACAGGCCAATAAAACCATAACCCTTGGGGTTATCATTTCTACTAGACCCCTCTGTTGAACAAAAATCTACAAGTTAATATATAAGTCCGCAGAGTATAAACCCTAATCAGTAGAAAGTAGTATGTCCAACAAAGATCCATACTCCAGAGAATGAAATAATCCTTGGGCAAGCCTGTTGGACAGCGCTGCAACACAACATTGAAAGGACATTCAGTCACCCTTTTGCTTTATTTATATATTTTGAATAACTTTTGTCACTAAGAGAAATAAACATCTCTTTGAAAAGCCATAATGTGAATACTTACAAGCATTCTCCATATTACAGAAGCAAGAATATTCTCTCACATATGATTGTAACTTTTTGTACTATACTAGCTCCTTCCCCTTGGAACACTCGTTCTCAAAACTACTGTAATTATGTAAAACATAACCTGTGGTGTTTGGTTTTTATTTTTATTTTTTTATCCTCACCCAAGGACATTTTTGCATTTATCTTCAGATAGAGTGGGAGGAGAGAGGGGGCAAGAGAGAAAGAGAAACATGGATGTGAAAGAGACATATCGATTGGTTGCCACCCACATAACCCCAACCAGGGCGGGGACAAACCACAACTGAGGTATGAGGTACGTGCCCTTAGCAGGGACCAAACCCGGGACTCTGGTCCACAGCCCGACACTCTAACCGCTGAGCCAAACCTGCCAGGGTGGGTGTTTGGTTTTTAAACAGGCCATATTCAGGTCCACCAGACAGTCTGACTACATTTTCAGAAAACATGCCCTAGTATATAAGTGTAATAGGTGCACACTCACAAATTACAGAAGGGTTTTGTCACTGCCTGGGCAGGGTCAAGGGATTCAAACAAAACAACCACCCTGTTCAGGTGGCTCCCTAAATAGTCCTCCAGACTGTTCTCTCTATGTATATCTCCAGGCCCTCAAAGTCCCACTGGCCTTTTTCTTGCTTCCTTTTTCTCCTTCCTCAAACCTCAGCCTGCCCATCTCCAAAACCAGGGCAATCCTAATCCCATTGTTATGCATTGGTTTGACAGGATTTCAAACCCACTTGTTTATGACAAAGACATATTGTTTTTAGAAGGGAAGTTGTTTTGCTATAAGGATGAAGCAAATTGTGTCAGGATGCCATCACCTCATCTGTCCTTGAGAAGCAGTCAGCAGCTCAGCTGGGGGCTTATCCATAAGAACATATGGAGAAGCAACTATGGCAAGAGGACATTCAGACTATATATACTGAGAGTTCATGAGGACTCTTTGAGAGTTTCCATCTGGGTGAGGTGACACTTTGGTGGGCAGTGGCACAACACTGGGCAGCGGTCTCGGGGAAAGAAGGGATGGACACATGTTCTTGCTTTGGGGAGGCACTCCTCCTAGGCAGTGGTACAAGCTGTGCACTGGTCCCTGGAATGAGAACCCTCGGAGCAGCCAGCCCACCTGCCAATATGGGCGCCTTTGTTCCCTAGCAACGGGCTCCAGCAACAAGGGACTTCCATTTTGCAGCTGGCAGGTGGAAGTCAACTCCCAGTTGGTTCAAGCCATGTCTCCCCAGTGCCTACTGC